TTTAGTGAAAAACGTTCCTAATTTCTACCTATGAGAAATCTGTATATGACATAATCCTTAAAAAGGTCACATGATTTGATTGTCGTCTGCCGCACTGCAATTATTTCCCTTCAATATCCAGTTCTGTTTCACATCGGTAACGTGTTTGCAAAAAGTCCTTTCAAAATTTCTAAGTTAGTTTTAATTTTTGTTAATTACTTTTTTACTAAATATTTTTATTTTAGGTATTTATTTTAGTTTGGGTCATATTTCATTGAAGTAATTTTTTGTTTAAGTTAGTAAATTATTAAATAAGATAAGAAGATTAAGAACCTAAGAAACGAAACCCAGACTAAAAAAAGTATTAAATAAAAAATAATTATTACATAATTGCTGAAAAAAATGTTAATATTTTAAAAATTACTAGTTAAAAACCAAAAGAATTCGTTCGCTTACATTTCGTAAAATTATATCAATTTTGGTCATCCATAGTAGCTGTCATCACCTCATAACTTCTCAATAACATCGATAAGGTGAATAAAGTTACGACAAAATTCAGACACATCATTAAGAAATGTTTGGATACAATTTTTTTATGCTATAAATAAGTAATTTTTTTTTTAAATCAGATTGATTTAGCTTTAAATTTTTTATTTTACTCAAATAACGTGTCAAAAATATATAATTTATTTTAGGAAGAAGTTTAAAATCGAAAAGATTTTTTGTTTACAAATTTCTTAAAATTTAAGAAAATGGCAGCTTTTAAGAAATTTTTTAAAAAATCGAGCATATATTTGACATTCCAATCTATATAATTCCAATCTGAAATACACCAGAATATTTTACTTATTGGAAATAATAAATTTAATCCTTTAGCTTTCAATTAAAGTTAAAATAAAATCTTTAAGAATGCTTTTTCATTTTTAAAAATTCATTTTAAACCGAAAAACTGACTAGAGGTACCTATACTAGTGTATTCGGGCCGTCACAAATATGTATGAATATGTTTAGAAATGAATCTGTGTGCGAGAGTGTGTGTGTGGATATGAATTCGTGTGTGTGTTTGTCTGTTTGTGTGTGCGTGGATATGAATTCATGTGTATGCGCGCGTGTTTATATGTGTGTGTGCATAAAGCTGATGGTTAGTACATAAAATCATAATAGCACTCATCTGTTCTTTTGTCAAACTACTCTCACAGACGATTACCACTTTTGTGTGGTAGATTCTCAGAGCACTGCAAGCGTATAGTCTTGTGCCAGACTACGCTAAGCTTAATAGATAGCAATCATTGGCTTAGCTTGTTACTGGCACCTGAAATCTCCAGGGTTTCGGATGCAGGCAGACCCCCTCCGGACATTGATCGGAAAGAATCTTTCGACTTAAATTTTGGACAGCTGGCAGGAAGAAGGGATATTTTGTTATGCCAGCCTTAAAAATCGGCATTTGGTTTTAACTGGTTTTTCACTGGGTTCGAACGTAGATTTCTAGTACCATAAAAAATACCCGATTTTCACTAGGGATTCAGTTGTTTTGAAAAGTGTTCTTTTTCCCTTATTATTAAAATTCGTTAAGTCTGGCGTAAGGCTATTGCGAAATGTGCGCCTAGTGATATCGAAATGACTACATTAACCAAACATTCCACAAGGCAAGCTACAGTAGGCGCCCAGTACGTAACAAAAGTGGAAGTCTGAAATGATACTAATTCTAAGAGTCGGCTTTACCACCTGCCTTTCTACAAGGAAATAAAGAATAGAGGCAAATTGACTGAAGGAAGGAAGAATAAAAGGCCAATAGAAGAAAGAAAGAAAGAAACAAACAAACAAACAAACAAACAAAGGACAAAATGAAAAAAGAAAGAAAGAAAGAAAGAACACAAAGAAAGAAAGAAAGAAAGAAAGAAAGAAAGAAAGAATAGCGACAGATCGAGTGAATGAATAAATGAAGTCAGAAGGAAACGTAGAGATGACAAAAGGGAGGGATGGCGAACGGACTGAAAGAAAGAAAGGATAGATGAAGGAAGGAAAGAAGGAAGTAATAAAGGAGAGAAAATAAGGAATTTCAGAGTTGGAAACATTGGAATCAAAGAAATTATTTGAGAATTTTGCATATATTAATTCAGGAAACAATCATTTCTCTTTTTCCCTCTCAATAAATCGTATATCACCAACTAACCCAACCATTGACAAGACATAGTTACTGTTTCATAAAAACTGTTTAAAAAAATGACTACTTAACCATAACAAACTACCTTGCATCAATAGAATTCAATTTAAGAAGAATAATATCAAATAAAATATATCACAATAAAAAAAATTAAAAAAAACAGGCAAGACAGGACACTGTACATATCTAGAGACACTATCTCATAATTTCACAAAAATTCTTTGATAAATCATTTATGAAAGCCGAAAGAGCTCGGAGGATATTAGAGAATTTTAGTTAAATTTATGCCCGGAAACAAGAAAATTGATCCGAAGCGATGAAAAAAAAAAACTTCAAAAAATAGCTTTCCGGTACACAGTCGCGCGCACACACTATCTCTATATATATATTAAATTATTTGTTCTGGATTTACATTGAGCTCTCTGGATTTTATCCTCCTTAGGTTTACCCATGCGGATTACCTAGTTTTCATAAACTATATATATATATATATATATATATATATATATATATATATATATATATATAGTCATCCACAGACAGACTGTTTCGCTGTATCACAGCTCATGAGTGTGGCTAGACGTCCTGCTGCCTCTAGCTAGGATCGAAACCCGACTGAATTGGCGTCAGTCGCAGATTCTACCACTAATCCGTTGGCGCACGGCAGGGACGAAGGTGAATTTAAGCGTATTTATTTTTAGATATACACACAGTGACTGAGAGAACTCAATTCGATTTAACGAAGAGTCATGCATTATTAGCCATAATAGTCACTGTTTACAAACCCACACGTCCTCCCCAGAGAGCTCAACCGAAATAAATTTTTCAGAAACATATATATTGTCATCTACAGACAGACTGTAGTGTGTGTGTGTGTGTGTGTGTGTGTGTGTGTGTGTGTGTGCGTGCGTGCGTGTGTGTGTGTTTAGCTAGATAGCTATATAGCTAAATTTATCTCGTGATAATTATTGGATTTTGTTTGTTAGTGATGTTCTGATTGACATGTTCACGAATTGCACCTTGTTTCGACAAGGGACAAGCCAACCTACCTTGGTGCACGTGTGGCTGATGTAAGAATTTTTCATTGTTGATATTGGAAAGATAGCATGAAAATTCATAGGGAACATTATTTTTACATTGGGTGGAATTTTTGAGGTCCCGTGCTACTGATAATAATTAGATTAGATACTTTGAACTTTTAATAGTAAATAATAGATCTAAGGTGTTTGCTGGGTCCGTTATGGGTATGTACTGACAGAATATATTTTAATGGCTTCTTCACCCTGTTTATAATTAGAGTTCATTTGGTGGTTACGATGCAATAATTTAATGATCTGTTTATTTTGTCATTATTTTGTCTGTTATCTTGGTCATTGCTTCTGTTACATTTTTTTCTAAATTTGGTTAAGGCTATCGACGACATGGTTGGGGAAGTTGTTGTTAACAAGTGTTTGTTTTATGTTCCTTTCGAAGAAGAGATTGTTTTGACACGGTAAATCATGTTTTTTTTTTATAACAGCTCTCTTGTATCCGTGTGGACATACATTTTTGTTGTTTTTTTTCTGTTAGAAGCCTTCAGGTGATGAGTTTTTTGTTATTTGGTAAAACTCTTCGTTGATGATTTTGTAGCGCCATTCTTTATGGTCTGATGATTGGTTGATGTGTTTTATTTTACGGCAAGTAAAAACAGGCAAGACAGGACACTGTACATATCTAGAGACACTATCTCATAAATTCACAACAATATAACCTGCAAGTTATTTAAAGCCAAAACGGCTTGCGGCAACATTATGTTGAAACACCGGTTCCCGAAAAATGACAATTTAACCAAGTTAAGCAACGTCGAGCCTGGTCAGTACATAGATGAGCAACAGCTTGGGAATACCAGATGTTCTAAATTTGGTATAATGGATAATGATTCGGAATTGTTAATCGGAGTGCCGTGTTCCAGTTTCCGTTAGGTTTGTTATATTCACACGTGCATATAATCTTGGGAAGGGTATGAATTCTGGGTAAGACTTGTAACACTAAAACCACTATTATTTCCACCCCACCTCCACAAAAAAATTTACACTCTAAAAAATATTTTCTGGCTTAAATAACCTGCAAAGTGTTGATAACCCGTAAAAACGAATCAATCAAATAGAATGAAAGAAGAAACATCTTTTTCATTATAAGAATAATTCTATTTTTGTGAGTAAATATTGCATTAACAATTATTTTTCAAGGATATATTTTCTGTTCATTCAGTAACAGTTTTATCTAAATTGTGTTAGTTTGAAAGAATCATTGATTGATCTGATTTTACGGATTATCAACCCTTTGAGGTTTATTGAAAGCCGAAACACATTTCGGATTGTAAGAGTTTTTTTTTTGGGGGGGGGTGACAATTTTCGGAGATATATATTCCTACTATTTAATCCATAGCATATAATTTCCCAAGAATATTTATGAGTAAGTGAATGTAATAAACCTAACTGGAATTCGAACTGATGGGGTCCGATGGAGAATCGACTTCTATAAGATTTAAGTTTGGAAAGCCATTGAAAGATTTTATGCAATCGACACAAACTTGATGGATTCGGAAGACGAATCAACGTTTCCTTTTTATGTTGGTTGATTGATTCATTTTTTACGATTTATCAACCATTTAAGGTTATTTAAAGTTAGATTGTAAGAATTCTTTAATTAATAATGGTTTAATGATACAAGTTTTACTAATTAACTCATAGCTGGGGACAAGAAGTGGATTCATACTTTTACCAAGTGAATATAACGAACTCAACAAGAATAGGAATTCGATTCTCCGATTAACAATTCCGAGCCATTATCTATTACATTACCTGCACATTCAAGTTTACAGCACCTGGTATCCTCAGGAGGTCACTCTTCGAGGTACTGACCAAGCTCGACGTTGCTTAACTTCTTTGATCGTACGAAAACTGGTTTTTCAACGAGATGTCGTCGTAAGACATTTTATGTTGGGCTGAGTCTCGTTCTTGGAAGCGTTAGTGATTTCTTTTACAAAAATGTATTGCTGGTAATATCTCTCTCTATATATATATATATATATATATATATATATATAGAGAGAGAGAGAGAGGGAGGGAGAGAGAGGGAGGGAGAGAGAGGGAGGGAGAGAGAGAGAGTTTCCCTTCACAAGAACAACATCAAATTACCGGACAACAGATAACTCTTTGTATCACATCTACAAATGTAATCAAGGTAAATTTAAAATTATGCCAATATATCAAACAGACAATTATTCTTACCTGCACGTACAAGAATAACACTTCAGAGACAAATTTAAACCAGCACTAAACAAATCATAACCTCGTACACATAAACACACAGAGTACACATATAATGGACAAAGACACACACACACACTCACAAACACACACACACACAAACACACACATATCTATGGAGAACGAATATATATACAGATACTTGCAAAAACAAACACAATAGACTACCTACAAGAACACACACGAACTCTACACAACATAGGAAGTGTGTGCGTATATATATATATATATATATATATATATATATATATATATATATATATATATATGGACTCTCCCGTCGGTTTCGACGTAAGAGGGTCTGGCAGCTTATTGATTCAGTTATGAAAGTTTATGCGATAATCTTAAGTTGCATTTAAGACCCGCTAGTGATTTACAAAGGAGGCCACATATGGAACAGGTGTGAGAATTGTGAGATGAGATCACTGTTAGATTGGCTGACCTTTTAGATCTTTTTTTATATATATATATATATATATATATATATATATATATATATATAAGTCCTTATGATAAAACAGTATATATGTATGGAGAAAGTATATGCATATACAAAAACATACACGCACACAAAATATGGAGATAGGTCTAAGAAGATACAAGGGTCATAAAAAGATAAGAACGAAAACCTCCTTCCTTCGCTCTTTCTCTGAAAAATTCTAATTGTTTTATTATTCCATAAGGATAAGAATACTTTCGCCACAAGCCCAAGAAAAATTTGGGTTACTACAACACACAAAAGACAATAGTTAAACATTTCGGAAAACATAAGGAATATTAATTCCTTTTATAATACGTGGAAATAACCACTCTTTGGCCGATGAAAGTCGCGAGACCAGAAAAGCGTGTCGCAAAAATATGGTAAATAAAGAATAATATATATTTAAAAAATCCACGTGTTTCCACGGTTTCTCTCTCCTCTTTATATATATATATATATATATATATATATATATATATATATATATATATATATATATATATATATTAATATGAAAATGAATTACTGGTATTTTTTACTATGTATTTTTATACTTTCAAAATGTCTTGAGTGTTGAGATTAAATATTTGCCCGTCGCTGGGACCCTAACAGGTGCTACTATCCCTGGCCATCGTGGACCTGAAAACAGCATCAAATAAGAGGTGGTTTCATGTTCCTCAAAACCTCCCCATCAGAGGCCTTGTTACTGGATTTGAGTTTATCGCCAGACTCAAGATGGCTGATGGGCTTGTCGAACCGATTTAATTTACCATTTTGCAATATTTTATGAAAACTTAGGTAAATAATTCTCAGTAATAAGGTAAATACTGGGGATTATTTTACGGGTTAAGGTAATGGTCATAGGATAGCAGATTAAAATTTTGGAAATATTGATCATTCTACAAAATCCAATCCTACACTGCACCTTCATAGGCTGAGAGAAGTGTGAATTAAATTCTTTTAAATAGGGTAAAAACGTTTGCGTTAAAAAGTGAGGTCAGAGGGTGCAACGGCCCCGGGCATCCATATCGAGAGGGCATCCAATCAAAGAGTGAAATAAAAATTTAGTTTATATTTAATTTGAATAAAGTGTTTATTTCAGGTTTCATGTATTTTTACATATTTCCTGTTTCACATTTGACAGTAATAGGCCCTATACTCCCTCTACATGAGACTCTACATTCAAGGATCTGGCGCCAGACATCACCAAATGTAAGCATCTGTTTCTGCATGTATGTATCTGTTTCAATCAATCAATAAATCAATCAGTCTATCTATCTATCTATCTATCATATCGTGCATATATATGTATGCATCTATTTCAGTCTGCACAATATATTTTCGCTTGTATATATGCATATATTTCAATTTGTATATTATGTATCTGTCTATCATACCGTGTGTATCTTTTTCAGTCTGCACAGTATCTTTTCGTTTGCATGTATGCAGTAATGTACAGAAGGTGGGTAAAGGGTGAGATGGTCCTGGGAATCCACTTCGTGGGAGGGGACATCCAATCGAAGAGTGAAATAAAGATTTAGTTCATATTTAATTTGAATAAAGTGTTTATTTCATGTTTCATCTGTTTTTACATATTTAAAATGTCTTCCTTTTTTCACATTTCTTAGTACAAGAGCCTATAGCCGCCCCTATACTTGAGTCTTAGGGGCATACAATCAAGGACTTGATCCCGGGCATCAGCAAACTTCTCCATGTCTATTGGTGAAAATAGTGCGTAGTGGAAAAAAAAAGGCTACGAATCACAGCCTATCAGCGAGCATTTCTCCAATGAAAAGAACAAAGGTTACCATTGTGACTGTCGTTGGTTAAATATAAGTAATAGTTGTCGTTGTTGTTGCTGGCGACTGTTCCAGTATATGTGTAAGAGAGGTTTTAGGGTCTTTTGATAGCTAAATTATGACATTGATGAAATTGATAGTTGTAAAAAGAAAGAAAAAACAAGGAAACTTTTATTTCTAAGAGAGAAAACGATTTGGTTATCTCTCGACACATAGCAACTTTTTGTTTAAAGAAACTACTCATATCTCCAGATAGATTTTTTTGAGCTTAGAAAATCTACTTGTACGATGCAATACATATATATATATATATATATATATATATATATATATATATATATATATATATATATATTGCTAATAAGAAGACGGAGACTTAAATTATACATTTTGTTTATAATTTTTTATTTCGTGAACAGCGATGTGTTGATCTTATCAGAACGATTACCTTCACGGTTTTCGTTCTGATTAGAATAACTTTATCTTGACGTTCACGAAATAAAAATAATAAACGAAATGGATAATTTAAGTCACCGTCTTCTTATTATCATTATAATGCTCTGTAGTCTACATTGAGCTCTTCCTGGATTTATATCATCCTTGGAATTATCCCTTTCAGTCACAAACTGGTAAAACTGGTATATATATATATATATATATATATATATATATATATATCAATTGCTGATATCCCCTGAGGAGTGGCAGGAGCGATTATCGCATTGGCCGTCTACAAAAACTCTGGAGTCGAGATGCTGAAGATAATATCAATCAGCTAAGATATATATATATAGATAGATAGATAGATAGATAGATAGATAGATAGATAGAGAGAGAGAGAGAGAGAGAGAGAGTCAATTGCTGTTATTCCCTGAGGAGTGTAGGATGCGATTCTCGGATTGGCTGTCTACGAAAAACTCTGTAATCGGGATGCTGAAGATAATATCAATCAGCTAATATATATATATATATATATATATATATATATATATATATATATATATATATATATATACACCGGTGTAACAGCAAAATTGTCCAATTGTTAGATTAAGATTTGAACCGTTGTATCTTAGAAATGATTAACGACATCTTACTGAGATTTTGATAGCACTAATGTGCACTACTTTGAAGAATAAGAATGTATTTCGCTCTAAGCTGAAATGATGATCCTTCCTGAGGTTGTGACCTCCTAATCCAGTTTTCCTCTTTACTGTTCCATCTTTTTTAAAAGTTATTCACCGTTCTATTGATGGTTCTTGAATGGACTTTGACAAATGGTGTCAAAATGGCTAAACGTGTTACGTAATAACCAGGAAAAAAAGAAACTCAATTAGTTTAGTATTTTTTAGATATTAAACATTTTGTAGGATGGTCAATTATTCCATGCTGTTATACAATTTGTACGATTTTGCTGTTACACCGGGTATATATATATATATATATATATATATATACAAATCCATAATCCAAATGTAAACGAACGAAGGCTAATATTCCAGCATTCAAAACATCAATTTAAAACAGGGCTCAATACACAAAAGTGTAGCCGTAAATATTTATTTATTATGCAGTGTTACATTAGAACATGCAAACACTCACTACAAAACTGTACATCTTGTTTCAATGTTAAAAGAAATCCCAGCACAGAAAGTTTTTGTCTTAGAAACATTAAACTATCCACGCTAAGTTACCGTTTAAGTTCAAATTCTATGATTCGACGGAATTCCATTGGTTGAATTTGTTCCTTCTTAGTTTATATCACCTCCCTCACCCCTTTTTTTTTCAACCTTTATTTCCTTTTCTTGACTTTTTTCCTCTTATTTCTCTTCTCTCTCTCTCTCTCTCTCTCTCTCTCTCTCTCTCTCTCTCTCTCTCTCTCTCGCTGTTACTAATCACTTAGCTTCCTTTCTTTCTCCACATGTAAATTCTTTTTTACCTTTTAGGGAAACTTTCCAATGACGGAAGTGGAAGAATATACTTCGATAACTGCATTTAGGAATAAAATATTTTAGTAGCATCGTGATTACCCACCTGATGAAACGTTGAAAAAAATTTTAACGTTGGAACAAGATGTACAGTTTTGTAGTGCTTTTTGCATGTTCTAACGTAACACTGCATATATATATATATATATATATATATATATATATATATATATATATATATATATATATAATCGTTGCCTAAAAAATCTTTACAAAACTAGGGTCGACTAGGTGGTAAATGCTTGTATTTTATACCCGCCTATTACTACCGAGTTGTAAATCAAGTGGTACACATACAATTACTGTACGCCACTTACTGTATCTCCAGCGGGCTACCAGAAGTTTATCTCACTAAAACTTGGTTTTGGTGAAAATATTTGGCATATTAA